AGATGTAGGACAGCACTGTTTATTTTGTTTCATCGGAAACTGGGTTATGCTCCAGCTGTCTTTTGTGTTGTTTGCTCACTTCCTGGCCCTTTCTGAAGCTATCTGCACCCTTTCTCATAGCTTTTCTAATGCCACTCTTTCATTGTCGCCTATGTATAATCCTGTAATACTTGGATTCAGATTTTGAAAGCAAGTGACACATATCTTTTAGTACATTGTCTCTGTCCTCCCCAGGGCATTACATAATGCTTTCCTAGACACACTAGCAGGCAGAGAATCTCAAGTCTGCTTTGTGTGTGTACTTTGTTTTAGCTTGGAATGGAGAAAGTGACCTTATGTGACACAGTAAGAAAACAAAGACTGCAAAGAATAAATAAAGAAATAAAGAAATTCCACAAGCAGAGAATGTGTTATAGAAATAGTGAAACAGCTACACATAGAGAAACACAGTCATGATTCTGAAGATAACAGTGACCTGGAAATATATAATGTATATTGAAAAATATTATGTTCCTAATTGAAAAATATTATGTTTCTAATTTTGTAACTAGTATATATTTACATATATGTACAGGAAAAATATTGGATAAGTATACCAAAATATTGCTATCAGTTTTCTCTGGGTTATAGAATTTTTGTTTCTATGTTCTTCAATTTTTTTAAAGGGAAAGACCTTGTATTTAATTTAGGTACAAAGCAAACCCCTTTTTGTACCTACAACTCCTCCCTCATGGATTTTTTGATATTTCATTCCTGCTGCTACCAATCAAACAGATGAGAAGCAGTATGATATCCTGACCTCTTGTTCCTTTTATTATTATTATTTTAAACTCTCAAGTACAATAGTGCAAGAAAGTCCACTTTTAAAATTTATAGTACTCACAATTACCACAGCATTCTCATTGTATAAAAAACTACTTGTGGCTATATCAAAGATAGAGCAATCACGTGTCTCATCTTGGGTTGTAGCCAAATTACATAATGTGTTTACACTGTGTTTGTTAGGTAAAGTCAAATGTTGACTATGGCTAAGTGCCTTGATTACATTTACCTGTTGGTAATGATAATGTTGGATTTATAGGAAAATCAGCTTCAGGAAAAATAATGTAGGGTCAGCTTGTGCTTGTGCGTATGTGTGTGTGTGTTTACAAGTATGTGTTGTCCCTAGAAACTTGATACTCTGGGGTAAATGGAAGCTGAATTTTGAAAGAGTTGGTTTTTATTTTCCCTGATGATATTTTTTAACTTGTTGAGGGGTCAATTTTTGAAAAACTTTAGAATAAATTATTAGTACTAATGTAGGTTCCTAGAAGTTAATTTACTGTAAGATAGTTTCAGAAAATTATGCAATAAGAAAAATTTGTTGGAAAATCCTTTATAATTGGTGAAGTGCTGCTTTTACCTGCAAGACAAAACTACAAAATTTCTAGTACTGCTCCGAGTTGTAACAAGTGTTCTATGACCCTGGCCAAGTGAGAGTCAAGTCAGGTCATCACTGAGGTCTGTCACTATTCTCAGAAGGGTCAACACGCTGCTTAGGTCTAGAAAGTTAAAAATAAAAAGAGAGTATTTGGCGCCTACTTTGTTGTATTTACATAGGACCTAAAGATTTAGTAGAAAGTTTCTATTTTCTAAGCTGGATTTCAAAGGACTGGATGGTGAGTTAATTGTTCACAGTACCTTTTTTACTTCTTTTTTTTTAAACAATGATAATCACAGCAGCTTTATTTGTCAAAGTCAAAATTGGAAACAACAGAAATTGCCATCTACAGATGGGAATGTGAACAACTTAGGGTTCAACCACATAAGGGCCTGTGATGGCCGGACTGCTGACAGGCAGCAGCACACATAGAGCCAACATGGTTATACTATATGAATAAGCTCTTCCTTGAAATAAAAGCCTATATGCTGAATGGTTAAAGCTTTATCACATCTAAGAATGCAGACTATCTACCTGGAATAAAGTAAATGGGCTGCTTGGAATGTGAGGACCGGAAGTGATTACAAGTGGCACTAGGAAAGTTTCAAAATGATGTTTATATGTATTGTAACTATTGGGGTGATGGTTTCTAGGGTATACAAAGAATATAGCCAGGCAGTTACCACATACTGTCCCTCTTCGCTTTATGTTGCCATGCTGAATGCTACACTTTGGTATTATATTCATTAGCTAAGAATGAATAATAATTTGTATGCATCTAAAAGTTACAATTTGCTATGAATCTACCACCACTGCCCCAGAGGTTACAATGTGAAACAACATTTTTATCTCTTAAGGAAAATTATTGTGGAAATTTCTGGAACCTCTTAATATTCTCTATTTAAATAAAAATGGTAATATAATCAATCCAGGAAAGAAAAGCATTCTAAAATTTCACAGCTTTCTAAGTGTAAATGTCCCACACTTTACGGAAAATGGTTCTTTGAATGCAAGAGATCCCACAGCATTCTGATTGCTGATTTGAAGTGTCCAAAGTGTCAGCACATCTAAGGTGCTTTAAAAGTCACCAATGCCTAAAATCACAGCTTTTCTAGTTTTTCTTTTGTTGTTTTTAAATATCACAATGAATCAGCCCTGATGGTGCATGACTGCAATCCTAGCAATCTGGGTGACTGAGGCAAAAATCACAAGGTGGGGTACAAGTAACCCATTTAGTGACTTAGCAAGACCCCTAGTGGGTGTTGGAAAAAAAATGTCGACTTATTCTGAGAGGCTCCAGAGGGCAGACTTGGACCAGTGAAAGTGAGTTAGGCAGAACAGTGTTTAGATTCAACAAGAAGAGATTTCTGAAATTCAAACTGACCGGAAGTAGGTATCTTTCAGGAGGTACAGCTGTGCCCCCGGATGGACAGGTGAGGAGGCCGGCTTACTTGTCAGTGACATTTGCAGGGAAGCCTCACATCAGAGATACCAGATACCAGACACCAAATATCTCAGGTCCTCTCCAGGGCAGGGATTTCTTACTGTGATCCTGACAAAGGACTTGGAGAAATGGCAGAAAGCAGATTCTCTTTGGGGCTGCAGTGTAGTTCAAGGGTAGAGCTCTTGCCTCGCACGTGCATAGGCCTGTGGTACTACAAAGAAACAAACCAAAAATGAAACTAAACCAAACTAAAAGAATACAAGCTAGGCACGGTGGTACATGCCTGTGATCACAGAACTCTGGAGCCGGTGGCAGGAGGATCACAGCAGGTTTGAGGCCAGCCTGGGATAACTAGTGAGTTCAAGGCCAGCCTGTGCTAATAGTGAGATCTTGTTTAAAAAATGAAAAACAAAACAAAACAGAATACAAGAATTTACCAGATTCTCTTCATGTGTTTAGACAAAGAATGAACCTGCTGTTTTCACAGCACAGTTTTTGCAGCTCTTATTTCTTTCTCCTGTTCCAAGTGCTGTCATCTGTATTATTCTTGAGAAACTGGTTGTTTGGCAATAGGAGTCAAGTTATAAAACATGGGAAAAAAAGTTGCAAAGATTTATTTCATCCCATTATTTGAGGAACTCAGTGGAAACCAGAGCAGTGTCTGCCTTGGAGACCACAGTGGGGGACTATAGGGTCCTCATTTTAGCATAAGACTATGTTCACACCTGCTGGTCTGGAATATATATTCCTTTTCCCCATTTAACATGAAAGAAGAAAAGGAAATAAAATAAGCAAATATACACAACCAGTAGGAAGTGATGTTTAAAAATCCAACCAAGGAAACTAAATACCCACATAAGGCAAGATAAGATTTTTTTTTCCTAATAGAAAAATAAATAACCACTGTACAACAAACAACAAACATAACAAAACAGGGGTAAATGACTTCCTTTGGGGAAGATTTCATGGGAAGAGGCGCAGATGTTGAAGTTACAGACAGGTGAAAATTCTTGACTGGACATTTTCTGTTACTGAAAAGAAAATTCACCCATCATTTTGAACAATGGCTCTTTCTATCCCCACGGCAAAAGCTTTTTGCTATTTGTCACACCAGCCACATACAGGGAAGTGTAATGAAACATAGGTTGATTTTCTCATAGGTTGAGTTTAATTCTATCTGATTGTAAATCAGGTCAGTGTAACCTGATGTGAACAATTTTAAAAATGTCAAGCACAATTTTCCTATATCCAAACTGAATACACATTTAAGAAAACTTTTTTCTTAAAAGGTTGACTTGATCCAAGGTTAACTTGATCCAAGAAATGTTCATGCAAAAGAAAAAGCTATCTTATAGGAAACAGAAATGAACAGTTTGTTTTTGAATTTTCAATTTATACTTAAATCCATAACTCAGGAAATGTGTAAGTTCACTATTTTTTAGCTTCAGCTTCAAAGAAAGGTTGGAATGTTTACAGTTTTATATTAGGGCTGGGGATTTAGCTCAGTGGTTCCACTTCCTGCCTTACAGTTTTATATCAAAGACTTATGTACAACTGCTGGTAAAATTTTACATTCTAAATTTTGGGGAAGATTTCATGCATTGGTGCAGGATCCAGGTACATGTTTGAAAGAAAGGAAAACAAACAAGAACTTGAAAGATATTTTAGCTCCTTACTAATGAGAGAGTGAGAGAGGGAGGGAGGGAGAGAGAGATGGAAAAAGAAGGGAAGGGAGAGAGAGGCAAAAGAATTATTTGCTTGTCCGGAGATTAATTTTTAATATTGCTGGCCAATTATTCTGAGAGCAAAGAAAAGCAAAGGATTTCCTCAGGGAAGTTTTCCTGACTTTATGATAGAATGACATAAAAGAATCATGTCCTATTAGTAATGCAATTTTGTGTGCATACTAAGCTTTAAAATGTGAGGGATTTTAGAGGTGAAGTACATATAAAAGAAGCAAACATTTACTCTAAAAATTTCTGAAGATTCAAAATGTGTGACAAAGAAAATAAAACATCCACAGTCACCATGCTGGTAACACATTGGTGCATTTTGTTCCTACCTGTCTGGATCAATCTATTTAAAAATTTTAAATAAAAGTTGTGATTCTATTGTGCTTACTTAAAAAAGCTTTACCTTCGGGCGACATGTCATGTCATGAAGTAATCTCTCCAATGTTAGCATTATAGGGTTTTATTTAACACAATGGTTATCCCGTGGCAGCTGGCAATGAAGACCATGATGTACTGCAGGACACAGGCCGCCCGCCTGGTGCTGGGCGCGCTTGGTAATACTTATGCGACGAATGAGTGGATGACAGAGTGAGGGGTGCATTTCATGTCTTCACCAAGCTTGCTACACTCTTCGTATGGATGATGCCGTCTCATTTATCTTTACGCTTTTCAGTGCTAGGCGCAGAAGTTGATAATGCTGGGCCCTCAAAAACTGTGTGTGGAGCGGTTAATGTGCTGCTGGTGACGGCAGAGACAGGGGCAGAGTCGGGGGTAGGTTTCATGGTTCTTCAAGTATCTGGTAATAGCGCAGATTTGGAATTCATCATTAAACTTGATCTGAATTCCTTTTGCTGTTCTTCCATAATTCTTAGTTACACAACAACCACAGCACTTTTAAGCAGGAAGAAGTACAGTTCTCATGAGCTATTTCTGCCTGACTGCTGTATTTACAGAAGAGATGGAAATAATTCATCTGTTCTAAATCAATATTGCTGCATAATTTCAGGAAAGACAACAGTTTCAGTTTCACTTACCATATATTATTTTCCCTTATAATTTCTATAATTATCACAATTTCATCCTTGTATGTAGCTGGAAAAACAGGCTATTATTATTAGGAGAGAAATTAGAACAGCAACTGATCACGTCAGCTCTATTGTAAAAGCTCAATAATTAGCACTATGAATATAAAATATAGAATATTTATTTTACAATTATAAGATCAAACAATGCATAAATGCATACTGGGAAGGTAGTAAAAATTACATGGATTTAATTACTAAGAATATGCTTAAATCCAAAGTACAAACACAACCTGATTTCAAACATACAAGCATTTAAAATGCTTGCCCTGGTTGTTGTTATTGTGCCGAATAGCCTCAAATTTTGCATGTATATACATTCATCACCAAATATTATACATTATACATATATATTTGTCACTTTTCTACTTTTATTGTGCAACTAATATCCAAATATACATATTTAAAATTCATATAATAAAGAATATGTACAGAAAAAATACCTTTTCAGGACTTCCTTCTTACCCAAATTTGTATGTAGGTTATTTCTCTAGGCTTCTATACAATTGCAAAATATATATTGGCCCATGTAAAAGTGATGGAGATCACATAGCTTGGCTTATTTATTTAACAATTATGTTCTTGAAGACTCTGTATCTAAATATAAACACGCCCCATTCTTTTTTCCTGTTACTGTGAAATTTATTTTGTAGATTTATTGAATTTATTTAATAATTTATCTGTGACATTTATGTCTAGTAAATTTTAAAATATTTGTACATGTTTCTTAATGAACTTCTATAAATGCTCCATCAACTTTTTTTTTTTCTCATTGAGTTTGTTGGTACACTCTAGGCACACAATACAGTTACATTCATTATTGGGATCTTGTACCTTTACATGACAGGTCTTGGTTCTCATTTTTTCCCCTTGTCCCTGCCCTCCCTTTACCCTTTCCTCCCTGCTCCTTTACAAACACTTCATTTCCATTTCTTCACTTTCTCATATTTTTCTTTTTCCTTATTAGCTTTCCCCTACCCTTCACACTTTCCCTACATCTTTAGCCCCTTTCTTCCTATTTCACATTGTCCACTATATCATTAGGAACTTGTCCATCAATTTCTTTTTCCAAACTACAGTGTGTGAGGGTGCCCTCTCTTCAGTTCTAGGTATTGGAAGTCTTTTTCATTTTTGCCCATTTTCTATAACAAAATTCTTATCGTTCTTTTAATTTCCATTTTCTAATTGTTAGGGAGGTGGAATAACTTTGGTCTTTTATCGTTCTTGTGAGTTGCCTGCTTCTTTCATTTTCCCTAAGTCATTGGATTAACTTGTCTTTTTTCTGTTGATTTGTAAGGGACTTTTAATAAATTCTGGTAATCTTTTGTTCACTATAAGTATAAATATAAATATTTTCTACCAGCTAACGTCTTTTTATTTTGCTTATGTATCTTTTATTATATAATGACTTTCAAATTTTATGTCATCAAACCTACTAATTCTTCATAGAGTGGCTTGTGGTATTTATAATTGGCCAATGAAAATCTTTCTGCTTCTCATGATTATAAAAATACTTAGAATACCTTTGTTGCTGTTACTTTGCTATGATACAGGTAAGGATCATGTCGATGCGATATGCCTCCCTCAGTGACCATTCTGATTATATCTTCCGCATCACTAGAGTTTTCAGAAGTGAGCCTCATTCTGCCAACTGGAGATACCTACAGGAGACATCATTGAGCTGACTTACTTGGAGAGAAAGGAAAGGCATAGGGCATTTATTTTCCAGGCTTGGATCATGACAAGAGTAGCAAAGTCTGAAATTAGCAACTGTGGTGGCTGCTTCTAATTAGGCAATTGAATTACTATTTTAGCAGCTTCCTGAGATAGCAGAAGGGGTGTAGTTCTGAAGCTACAGCAGTGGCAGAAATTTCTTGATTCTTCATTGGATGCAACGTTTTCCTGCTCTATTCAGTTCTGAGGTGTGGATTGGTAATCACTCCCAGATATTCAGACTAAGATCTTGTCCTGTATTCACTTCAACAATTTGCACATAATCCCACCTATCCCTTCATAAATTCTTTTTACCTTAAGATAATTTGAGTGGATTTTGTTGTCTGCAATTAAGAACATTCAGCAAAACGGGATCTAGTATTATTGAGCATTTTTTTTCCTTTTACTTAGAATGCCCCTATCAGTAAGTTTTCATAATTATGTTTTAAGTCAATATTTGTACTTTTTTCTATTTCATTGACTGATTTATCTACATGTTGTACTTATCCTATAGGGATATAATTATACATTTATTTTCACCTGAATAGGGTGTGTCTTTTCATGTTTAGCCATTCCTGCACATTTTCTTTTCCAAATAAATTTAGAAGTGATTGGTTGTGTTACATAAAGTATACTACAAGTATTATGATTTCATTTGTCATAAATGTGTAGACTAATTTAAGAAACGATTTTTAAGCCTTTTGTTTTTACTTTAAAAACTGATGAATAATTCAGTTATTATGTGATATATAAACTTTTCAAAATTTACCATACTAGAAGTTAAAACTGATAAAATCTAGAAATCTGAACTATTTATTAAAATAATCATAAAATACATATATGTTTACATATAATGTTTATTATGACAACTATATTTTCCAAATCAAAGTGTTAGTGACAAAAAAAACCCATTATGTTACCTTTTTGCAAATCTCTTTAATGTTTGGCTTAATAGAAGAAAGTTAGAAGATACTGTCTTAGTTACTTTTTTCTTTATTGAGACAAAAATACCTGACACTCAAAGGAGGAACAGTTTATTTTTCCTCACAGTTTATAGAAGTGTCAGTCCCTAGTTGACTGGCTTCAAGTCAGAGTGGCATGGCAGAGGTGCATCACAGAACAGAAATAGTCCATGGGAAAGCAGGCAGAAGACAGCAAAACAGCAAACAGCAGCAGCTAGCCTGCCTTTTCTCTCTACCTTTGTACTTCATCCAGGCTATAAACCTATTGATTGGTGTCGCCCACACCCAGAGGGGGTCTTCCACCATCTACATCCAGAACCATGCCAGTTCCATTCAGTGGATTCATATGGTACCCTATACCCTTAATCCAGGTATCACATGCCCTAGATACAGCCAACTCCAAACGTCCCACCTATCAGTTCATGAGGCTTTGGAGGGGACATCTAGATACAAACCATAACAGATATCCACATGTTCTATTGCATCCAATCTCTTGTAATATATTGTTTTTATTGAAGTATAGTTATCCTTTGGTATCTGTGGGCAATTGATTCAAGAATTCCCTCCCTACCCCACCCCCAATGGTACCAAATCCACAATGCTCAAGTCTGTTACATGAAATAGTATAGAACTTGCATAAAACCCACACACATCTTCTTATGTACACCATAGAATTTCTAGATTACATGTAATTTCTAATATAAATAGTTTTTATAGAAAGTAGTTCTTGTATAATATTGTTTAGGCAGTAAAGACAGGAGGAAAATGTCTGTTCATATTCAATACAGATCTAATCTAAAAAAAAAAGTTGTGATCTGCAGTTGGTTGAAACTATGGTCACAGAGGGCAGACTGTATATCAAAAAATTAGCCTTGTGCAGATAGTATTGGAGGAGGAAAAAGTACTTTAATAGCCTTTTCAGGTAAATGTGGATATTTTTCTTTGATACACCACAATTTGTCATGTAGTAGACTCACAGAGGTTAATTTGAACACCAAATTGAAAACTTACTGATGAAATTTGTTTAATCTACTGAAATCCATTGAACCGTGTCATACTTTTAATAGATCTTTTACCCATATATTTTGTAACACGATACAGTGGTCATTTAGCAAATACAGGCTCACTCACTTAGGGTGAACTTCTAATTAGTAATGTATTTTATCATACAAAATAAATATATCATATCCACTAATATTATCACTGAGATCAGAAAAGTCTTCAAGTGTCAGAAAGCTAACAAATTCATTATGGTCAATCCAAGTTCTGCAAAATTTTAAATTTCACTTAAAAGCTTGAATTTTTACCATTAACAATAAATTTTGTCAGTTTTCTTCTTTGAAACAATAGGCTTATTTTAAAGAAAGCATCTGCCAAGGCCGTAAGTCTGAGTAATCAGTTTTCTACCACTTGTTTTTTTTTTAAGGTAAAAATATTGTTATATGAGAAAAGTGAATTATTTATCAAAAAATAGAAAAATTGCAATTCATTTCATTGAATTGAAAAATGAATTTTTAAAAAATTATCAAAAAAGTGGATAGATTTTCAAACTCTGAATTAGTAGAACTTTTTGGAGGTCATTACTGAGGACAAGGAATTGTGGGACTGACCTACATTTACTCACTAAAATCCACATTTTTTAGTTCACACATTGCAGGT